GAATTGCAAAAACCCCAACCATATCAAATCATAAAAAAAATAAGTTAACATAAAACATAAGAAAATTACAGGATAGGTTAAGAACTTCTAGAAGTATAAATTATTGAAAAAATCATAAAGAGAAATACAGATGTTACTAGTATTAAAAATATCTTTGCTTTCTACAAAAGGGGCATACAGCATTAAAAGCAAATGCTCACTCATGTATATAATGTGTATTAATAATTATGAGATCAGTAAGATTTGAACAGACAATTCACAGAAGAGGAAGTATGCATAGCTAATCATTAAAAGATCAAACTCTGTAAAAATTTAAAAAGTGAAATTAAAACAATGATTATTCAGACACAGACCACTAAATATTGATTGTATCACACACACATCATCTCACGTTAGGATGTAAATTAGGCATATTTGATAGAAAGAACTTTTACAACAGTGATATAATGTCTTCCTTTAGGACAAGAAATAACTATCTAGGTTCTCATTGCTGGGGACCACCTACTAGCTGTAGGTCTAGGGAAAATAATGTTTCCAAGGCTCAGTTTCTTCATTCATAAAAGGAAAAGAATAATATCTATTTCATATGGTTACTGTGAAAATTAAATGGAAAATACGTAAAAGGAGTTAACATATTTCCTGGCATGTAGTAATCACTAAATAACCAATGGCTAAATTATTGTTTATAGTTTATCATTTATCATTAAATAAGAGTTTTACTGAGCAGACAGTAGAGAAATGTGCATTTGGGGTCTACTAATATCCCTATAATAGATTTGATATCTTCACCTTGGAACATCTCATTTTAATGATGATAATTACACTTAAAAAACATACTCTTTATCTTCTTGGCTTTGGCCTTAAAAAAAAACTAACACGCTCTATAACCAGGAACATGTCCATATTATTTCATTCACAACTGTCCAGTAATTAAGATGAAACAGGCACAAGTGGCAATTTGAAAACTCTCAACTATCATTTGAAAGAAGCAGAAGAGTCTGAATTGGTATCACCGTAACATGGTCAGGAGCCTGAATCTAGTCTCTGTGTCTATCCTTAAATATGGGGTTATCCTCAAACCCCTGTCAAGGGCCCCATTCTTTTCATACTGTATATCTCACTCCCTCCTGTCCACCGCTATGCTAATTCGCATTCCAGTGTAGATCACCCTCCTCATCCATATGTCAACACCCTTATCCATCCCATAGGCATTCTGCCTGCCAAGCCGTTCCTGCTGTGTTCCCTAAGTCCGTGGACTTCACTGTCTACCCAGTTTCCAAAGCCAGAAATCTGGCATCACCTGTTTCCTCCCTTTCACTCTTCACATTCCGTCAACTACCAAGCCAGGCTATTCTGCCAACACAGCTCTCTAACAATTTCAATTCGCACCCAGGTCACCATCATGTCACATCTTAAGGGGTCCTCCAGTTCCCAATCTTGTCTGTTCCAATCTATTTTCCACACAAAGCCAAAGTAATCCTCAAAAAACGTAAGTTATATCATGCCACTCCTATGCTTCAAATCTTTCAGAAGTTTCTTGTCTTGAGGATAAAGCTCTAAATTCCCTAGCATCTCCTTCTCAGGCTCATTTCTCCACTCCCCTCTCTTGGGAGCAATCTTAAGCCATTCTAAACTTTTTGGATTCCTAGAATACATGCTTGCAGCCTCAGAGCCCTTCTCTCAGGTGAAATTTATGTTCTCCTTCCTTCTTTTTCTACCCTACTTTGCACTCAATCTTTACAGCTTAATTTAAGTATCACTTCTAGGAAACTACCAGACACCCATTCAGTTTGAACTCCTCTTTAGAGTTCCCAAGGTTTCCTGTACTTACCTAGCAATTAGGAGCATTGTCTTGTAATTCACTAGTCTATCTCTCCTATCTCCTCTTGACTGTAAGTCCCTGGAGAAACTAAATGCTCTTAAACGTTCCATCTCAAGAGCCTAAACGTAGCGTCTTCCACACAAAACAGCAGCTGTTCAATTAGTATTTACTGAATGGATAACTGGTCCTTTCTTTGGCATGACGGCGGTCAGAATACCAGAAAGATGGGGGCTTAAAGGGAACAGAATAAAAAATCAATATGGAACAAATGGGATGGATACAGGGTATCAGGCTTTTCCATAACCTCTTGTAGCCTAGAAGGAAAGGGTTACTTGGCGAGGGGGACCAGGCCGACTCTCTTGCCCGAGGCCACGGCGACTACGGATGGGCTCCAGAGGGCAGCCGCAGGGACGTGCGACCTCAGGCAAGGCAGAACAATAGCTTGGAATTCGGCCTTGTGCAACCGGCGGGGCAGCCTCGCGCAGAGCCGGTGAAGCCCGGGGGCGGGGACGCCAAGGCCGGCCCTCCGCAAGGAAGGTGCTGCCCCCTGGACTCCGGCTGTCGCGGCTACCGCCTCCTCCGACGTCGCGGCCCCGCCCCGGAAGTGACTTAGGCCGGTCCGGAACCTCTCGGCCCGGCAGCTGCAGCGTCACCAGCCGAGCCGGTGCGGGCCGGGCAGAGCGGCCGCTGCCGCCACCAACGAACCGGGAATCGCGCGGGCCCAGCAGCGCGCCGGCTAGGGGAGGGGGCCCAGCGGTCGGGCCGAAGGCGACGGGCCGCCGGCGGCCGGGGGGCGACGACGACGCGGAGGAGGCGGAGCCCGGAGAGGGGTGGGGGCCGGGGAGGGTGAGGGTGGGAGGGGGTCGGGGGGCTCCCTGGGCTCATGGAGCCGGACGAGCTGGCGGGAGGCGGCGATCCCCCGGAGCCGGGCGGACGTCCCGGGCTGGGCCCGCCGGGCTTCGTCCCGCAGAAGGAGATCGTCTACAACAAGCTGCTGCCCTACGCCGAGCGGCTGGACGCCGAGTCCGACTTACAGCTGGCCCAGATCAAAAGCAACCTGGGCCGAGCCGTGCAGCTCCAGGAGCTGTGGCCCGGGGGCCTTTTCTGGACCAGGAAACTCTCCACGTAAGTGTGCCTGGGCCTCCGGGCCGGGTCCGGGGCAAGGGCTCTGTGGGAGGGCGTCGGGGCGGGGGCGGCTTTTTGTCGGGTCGGCTGGATCCTCAGCTCTGTCCTGGCTGCGGGATGTCCCCGTGCAGTGGTCCCAGGGTCTTGACAGAAGTCTGTGAGGCACTCGTGCCTCGTCCTTGCCACTTCCCTACGGGACCTCCCGGGTCTTTACCAGCCCTCTGCGTCCTCCCCAGCTGCTTCTCCCCTGGCGTTCGGGTCGTTGTCTTCGGATCTGCGGGGCCCTGGGGAGCCGGAGGACACCGGGCCCCGAGGGAGAGAGATGAGCCGTTCCCACAGGTCTTCCTTTGAGCCTGGGGGAGGCGGGGCAGAGAGGATTCGTTTTTGGGAGAAGGAACTCATGACTTCTCTACTTCTCTCCGTGCTTCCTCCGGTTCTTTCTTCTGCTGCGATCCCCGTTCCTTCACATCTCGGTTGGCGTTTAGTAACTTTCTGAATGGGAAAGGAGGCCGTAGGGAAGCTTCTGGGTTCTGCTTTTTTTGGGACTGAGCGGGGGACGCTGCTCAGTCCTTGTGTTGTGGATTTCTTTGAAAAGGTTGGTTTAAAGTCAGCCCTCAGCGTACTCTTGGGCTGTAGATTAGACGTTATTGTTGAGACTGTTTTAGAACCTGAAGAAAGTGTGTGCTGCTCCTGTTGTGACATTTCTTTGGAGAGACCTTTACGATGCTAAGGAAACTAGGAAAGAGCGCTGTCCGGTTGTCCTGGGCGTCGTTAGTATCACTCTTGTGTTAATTTTTGAGTGGCTCAGATGAACATAGATTACCTACATCAGTTTCAGGAGCTCTTTTCTTTATAAACTAGCTGCAAACTATAGTATTACTGAAATTAGGGGGAAAAACCCGAGTGAAAATACAGTTGGGGGGGAAAGAGGTTAGACACGTTATTTGCTAGATGGGCATCTTCCCTGTTTAAGAAGAACTTGTTTAAAAAGAATTTTGCTGTATCTTGTTTGGTTAACTGTACATAAAGTCTGGTAACATTGTATGTTCTCGCATGTGGGTACGGATGGGTGAACACACAAGATGTAAGTTACTTATTCATTGTTTACCCAAATTTGCTGAGTGAACTGGGTGATGACTCAGGGTTTTGTAATGCAATAGTCTTGTCTATATTTCCTCACAGGATGATTCTTCTCTGCCAGTTATTAGGGGCCTCTGACAAATTTCTCATCTCCTCTTGGGGTGGGTGGTGGGACTAATGACTTTTTTAGTTAAAAAGAAGCAAAATTAAAGCACTTAATTTGTCCTCTTCAAAGGGTGACCATAAAATGTCAAGGTTAACAGCCCTCCTCTTGACTAGAGTAAGAAGTTTGTGGTGTTAACAGTCCTTAGGAGAATTGAGGGGGAAGGAATGCAACAGGGGGGAAGAACCACTTTTAGTTAAAACAGAAGAATATTTTATAAATGATTAAAATTAAAATGCTTTTTCAAGTAGCCTTCTAGGTTTTTGTGTTACTTGGGCACAGTAAAAATAAAGTTACTTTGTCTATTCCAGTAATTCCCCATTTTCATCACTAGGTTTAGACTGCCAGAGAATACCATTTTTGGGGACACAAACAACTTCTTTTAGATGTGCAATATATAAATATGCCATGGTGTGGAGGCATATCTGGTTTGGATTTTTGAACCTAGAATCTACCCAGGCATAGTTAAGCATTGTTTTCTGGAATATTTGTTAATCAGTTTTGGTAAATTAGCACCCAGAATTTTGTTATTGTTTTGGCTTATTACATAAAAGTAGTTCCTACCTAGAAAGGGCTAAAAATACAGTGGAAAAAGTGCTTGGTGTTTAGGTAGGATTGCTGTTAGATGGCTTAATACCTATGAACCCATAACCATTTTTATGTAAATTAACAGCAAGAAGTGCTATCTGATAGAACTTTATTTTGGAATGGTGGTTAAATGCTGGAAAACAGCTCTTGGGATTGTGCTGTGAAACATTTTGAACTTGGTGGGACATGCTGTGATCTTGGCTATGTTTTTTTCTCCTAAGTCATGTTAAGGTGACCTGTTTATAGTAGTGCTTGTTGTTTTTTAAGCCTTGTGTGTTGCATAAGTGAACATCTAAATAATGCCAAAATGTGTGACGCTAGCTGAGTAGTGATCATATTTAGTACTTCGTAGAAGAATGGAAGGTAGTAACGAAAATAAAATCTAGTTTCTCCCACTAGCTCTGTGGCTGTGGGAAAGTTAATCATGTGTTTCAGTATTCTTGTGAGTGAAATGAGGGAGTCAATCTAAATAATTCCTGAGAACCATTTCCTACTCTGGTAATCTATGGTTGTTTTTACTGTTTTGTTTTTTTTTTTAATCCTGTAGAGCTTCACATAAACCAGTTTGTATCTTTCTATAGGGACTGTTGAGTAGTTTGTAAAGTACTGGAAATAGTTGCGTGGGTCAGGTACATTCCTAAAGAAGATGAGAATGTAAATGCTATTCAGAGACACTGGACTGTAGCCCTGACCAGAAGTGTGCACACCTAATCTGGGCATCACAGGTGTATTTGGGGCCAAGTTCTGATCTGGGAGATACTCAGTCTCTACATTTGGCCCCCCTTTTGACTTTCTACTTCATTTTAGTAGTTTCAATCCATTTCTATACTTGCAGGTCTGTTTAGCGTCTCTGAAGAAGGATTTATTCCTGTGTATTTTCAAAATTGGCCTTGTGATATAATACAGGCTGTCTTGTACAGTTTAAAATATTAGAACTGCCTGATCTAGAGAGATTGTGTGATGTAATATATCACAGGGCACATTTTTTTTTCCTCCCCCAACCCCCACAGGGCACATTTTTAAGAAGGGAAGAAACAAATTAGAGAAAATAGAAACAAATTAGTGATCTTTGGAAAATGACAGTAAAGACATCTGAGATCTCATGGACACTGTAAGTGATATATTGGCAGATAACTTATATCACCCATGTAGAGAATGAAGGAGTTGAAGAAAGGTAGTCTTAAAACTTGCTTTTACCCTCTTGTACTTCTGGACCTTTCATGAGAGGCAGTGAGGGCTAGTTAAAACACCTCTGTTTTCTGTACCTGGCTTTGTCACCAACATACTCATCTTGGTTTTATTTACCCTCTTTTAGCTTTAGAATCCTCCTTTGGAAGGCAAGAGTTTAGACTGTTAGTGGTTTTTCAAGCTCAAAATTTGGTAGTGGAGTGTTTTATAAAAACAAAATTTAAACACAAGGTTGGATTCCTCAGGCAGATTAAAAACCCTACTGATTCCTTCCCCCTCCCCATTTTGATACATTGACAATAGAACCCCTGAAGCCCGCTCAGGGTTCTAAAACATACTGTTTGAAAAATCACTGGACTGATGGCCCTTTTTAAACTTTCTGGAGGAAGAGAAGGGAAGAAGATGGAGAATAAGTGAATGAGCTACTGTTTTCTACAAGCTTATCCCATCCGTGATCATTTCTTTCTTTTATGTTTCTTTTTTTAAACAGAATTTGGATTTTAGTAAATTATGTGGGTTTGGTGTAATATGAAGCAAATTTAGATCTGTTGTTTGTTATAGTGACATGTTGTATTCAGTATTGTTTTGTGATTAAATGATTGTGTATAATGCTGTGGAATCATTTCATTTGCTAGTTAAAGTGTGGTTCCCTTTAGAATGAAAGTGCAGTTGTTTAATTATTGTTAAGAACATTATATAGCCTTCCTGGATAGATTATCCCAGTTGAAATCACATAATGTATTTAATTAGATTATATAACCACCAGAAACTTAAGTTTAGTCAAGGTAACAGTTATCAAATACACTAACCTCCTCTTGTGGAAAGTAGTAAGTGACCACAGGACCACACAAATTCATATCTCTGTGTTGGGGAAGAAAGTAGGAAGTGGTAAGTGTTGCATCTCAGTTGTCTATTAACATGAGATACTTAAAAGAGTATCTAATATTTGAGTATTGAAATTGAAGTATACAATAGGCATAAGTGTTTTTTATTTATAAAAGAATCATCAAATCTTGACAAATTACTACATTTCATCTGTGAGAACCAGATAGAGAAAGTGGTGAAAGAAGTTTGTTTTTGTTATTAAGTGATTAGACTTAAAATGGGAACCAAAATTTCTTTGTAATGAGAGAGTTGATTTTCCATAGTAAAAAAAGAAAACAAGTGATTTTGGGAAATATGAATA